CCTCAGTACTTGGGATCCCACACCTTTAATCCTAGCACTAGAGAGGAATAGAAGGTGGGAGGAGATAGAAGCAGTCTGAGGTTTGGTGGAGAGCAGTGGAGTCCAAGGAGCAGTGCAGTCTGGAGGACAGGATCACCTCTTTGGTCTGAGGCTGGCAGATGGCTGCTTTGCTTCTCTGATCTTCAGCTTTAACCCCAGTTTTTATTATTTGTGCTACAGGTGCCTGCCTGTTCTTTAAGCATTTTGCCAGTTGCTGCTAGGCAATTCATTTCTCCCTTTGCCTACTTTTAGTTATGTGTCAGATTTACCTCTATTTTAATACATAACTATGGTAAACATGTATTGCTATTTACGTCTGCTCAGTAAACATATAAAAAAAAAAAAAAGCCAGGAGGTGGTGCACACCTTTAATCCCAGCACTCAGGAAGCAGAGGCAGGTGGATCTCGGTGAGTTCAAAGCCAGCCTGGTCTGCAGAGCTAGTTCCAGGACAGCCAAACCCTGTCTTGAACCTGCCCTCCCCCAAATAATAATTATGATGATGATGATAAAAACAATAAATATATCATGAAAGATAGAGTAACATTTAGAATCTTCTTTTTATTGTTTTTGTTTTTTGAGACCTGGTTTCTCTGTGTAGCCCTGGCTGTACTGGAACTTTCTCTGTAGACCAGACTGGCCTGGAACTTACAGAGATCTACCTCCCAAGTACTGGTAATAAAGACATGCACCACCACTACCTGGCAACCACCACCAAGCTCTTAGTTCACTTAATTTGATTATCTCTAGTTTTATCTATTTTCTTACAAGTGACATAACTTTATTCTTTATGGTTGAAAAAAAATCTGCCTCTGTCACACACAGAGAAGCAACCTTTGTTGGTTCTATAACTTAGCTCTTGTGAGTGTGCTTCAAAAATATTGATATACAATATCCCTTTCATGTGCAGACTTGGGTCCTTGATGTAAATACTCAGTATTGGTATAGTTGGGCCGTAAGGTAGGTCTATTGTTAGAAACATCATACTGATTTCCATAGTTACTAGATGACTTTACATCCCTGGAAGCAGTATAAAGAAGGGTTCTCTTTTGTCTAATTTCTCATCAGCTTTTGTTTTCTAAACTATGCCCCTTCTGACTTTGGGGATATAATCTCAGTGTAGTTTTCATTTGCATTTCTCTAATGGCTAGGAGGCTTAAAATATAGGATATTATCTACAGCAGGATATTTTGACCTTTTCCTTTCCTTCTTGTATCCCCGTCCCTTCTTGGCTCATTACTCTAGCTAAAACATCCAGCAGTATAATGAGTAAGAGTGGAAAAAGTGAGCTAGGTGTGGTGGCACACACCTTTAATCCCAGCACTGGGAAGGCAGAGACCAGTGGTGTTCCAGGCAGGCCAGAGCTACATAGTGAGATCCTGTCTTGGGGAAAAAATGGATAAAGTGGACACTCCTGCCTTCAGGCTCAACAGGTGTAGGTACTTGCCTCCAAGCCTGATGATCTGAGTTTGATCCTCAGGACACACATGATCTCACCATGTTTTCTGGCCTCCAGACATACACACATGCACACGCACACCCACACACACACACACACATAAATAAAATGAAATAAATAAAGTGAATGCCCTTGTCTTGTTCTTGATTTTGGTGGAAATGCTTTGAGTTTTTACTATTTAGTATGATTAATGTTGGCTATATGTCATATGTATCTTTTGAGTATATTTTTTGTATTCCTAGTCTTTTCAAGGCAAAGTAAAGGGATGTTGGATTTCATCAAAACTCTTTCTACATCGGTTGATAAAACTGATTTCTCTCCTTGGCCACTGATGTGATTGTTGCATATATTGATTTACATATGTTGAGTCATCCCTATCTCTCTCATGGTGAATGATCTTTTGGTTTGTTCTTCAGTTTGGTTTGCAGGCATGTTTTTTCAGAACTTTCACATCTGTGTTTAGCAGGGGAATTGGTCAGTAATTTTTCCTTATTTGTTATGTCTTTTTGTTTGTTTGTTTGTTTGTTTGTTTGTTTTTGTTTTTCAAGACAGGGTTTCTCTGTGTAGCTTTGTAGACCAGGTTGGTCTTGAATTCACAAAGATCCTCCTGTCTCTGCTTCCCGAGTGCTGGGGTTAAAGGCATGTACCACCATGACCCAGCTTTGTTATGTCTTTATAAAAAGAGTTTGGTAGTGTTCCTTCCGTTTCTGTCTATGGAATAGTTTGAGAAGTTTTAGAAGCCATTACTGTGGAGTTGCTAGTTTTTGGAAGATTCATGTTACCTTACTTTTCATGTTTCTTGTGTTTTTGCATTAGAACTTGAACATCGGGGGTTAGGTTATTGATTGGAATTTTTTTCATTATTTATTTTTATCGTACTTATTCTTTCAGTGGAACTGCTTGCAATGTTCAACAAGTGATTAGATTGTTCAAGTTGAGGTGTCATTTTCCTCTGCTAGACTGGCGTTGGGCTTCAGTCCCCCGAGAACAGAATACTGTTCATGTAAACAATCATTTCTCATTTATCCCAGTTCCAACTCTCATTGCATTCCTTCTCAGGCTCCCAGATGCCTTAGAAATCCTGTTTGATGGGAAAATTTGTTTTACTTTTCTCAGCTTTTGCCAGTCTCTAATAACACGGACTTCCCTTCTTTACTGTACTGGTCTTTCATGAAAGATATAAAGGACTATTTGAAGACTGCATTCTCATTTTCTGAGTAAATACTATAGGTTTAAATAGAACCCTTACTTCCTGATGTCCTTTCTTCTTAAAATGTTATGTTTATCTGAAGGAAATAGTTGTGCCACCATGCCAGTAATACTGGCTTCTAGCTCATTTTTCTAAGTTGGTAGCACTACATATGTATTATGCTCTTTAGATATTGGTAAATATCTTCTAGAAGATTGCAACAAAATTTAAAAATGTATGCATCAATCCACATTTCTTTTCTACTAATTACTGTCTTTGGTTTGGTTTGTCCAGATAAACCGTATTTCCAAAGATATGATAACTACTACTCTATATACCTACTTGTAAACATTCTGTTACCTGGCCAAGTACTTGGAAAGTACTTTGCATAGTAGTAAATGTGGCCAGTCTATTTATGTGAATTGGCCGGACACATAATTGCTAAGCCCTGTCATTCCTTTTCTAGATTTCTTTGTTATGTTCAGAAACATTATTTTAATAAATAATATGCCTTGCTAAAATGTTCCTGAATTACACTGTTCTAATTCTGTACACCTCAAATGAAAAACTGATATAGACGGTCATAAGAAATTATTGGTTATTCTTAGTGATAATCTTTGCTACTCAAACATTAGGAAAGTCTATTTTAATAAACTAAAGATCAGATGTTGCTTTTTGTTAACCTTTTACTTCTTTGGTATTTTCACAATGATGGCTAATGTTTGTCAATCAATGAGTTATGTGGAAAATGCTCTATTGAAATCAGTTAAATTATATGATATATATGAAGAAAGATGGATTGGTGTTAAATTACATTAGTTGTCCCTTAAATAGGAGCTTTTGAACACTTCATCTGGATAAAATTATTTTCGTTTTGCTCGGAAGTAGTCATTGATTTAAAGATAGATTTAGGTGAGAATGGTGGTTCACATCTTTAAACCTAGTACTTGCGAGGTAGAGGCAGGGAGATTTCTGTGAGTTTGAGGCTGGAGCTGGTCTATATAGCGAGTTCTGAGCCAGTTAGAGCTACAAGGTAAGACTGTCCCTTAAAAAATACATATATATATATATATGCATATTTAATCAGACATGATATGAATATCATGAAATTCACTCATGAAGTAAAGAATTCCATGATTTCTTTCTGCTAATTTGATAGCTATGTAGCCATTATCACAGCATAATATTAGAACACACACATAAATCACTCTGAAAAGAAACCAGATATACATTTTTTGTTATTTTTTTTTCACACATCAGTCTATCATGTCTAATAATTTAACTTTATACAAATGACTGTACAATGATAGAATTGAATACTGTAAACTTTTTTTTTTTTTTTGATTTTTTGTTTTTTGAGACAGGGTTACTCTGGGTGGCCTTGGCTGTCTTGGAACTCTGTAGACCAGGCTGGCTTCAAACTCACAGAGATCTGCCTACCTCTGCCTCCTGAGTGCTGGGACTAAAGGCCTGCACCTCAGCACCTGACCAAATTTGTCAGAATCCTTACACTTTTAGTTTTTGTTTGTTTGTTTGTTTCTTCTAATCTTCTCCCTTCCTTTCTTTTCTTCCCTTCCTTTTCATTCTCTTTCGAAGTGTCTCTCTTGGCTGGCCTGAAACTAGCTATATAGACTAGACTGGCTTCTAACTCACAGAGATTGCCTACCTCTGCCTGCCAAGTGCTGGGATTAAACATGTACAACACCATGTCCCATTGAACATGGTATTTCTTTTCTTTTCCTTTCTTTTCTTGAGCAGCAAAAATATTTAGTAGTAGACATAGTAGTAAAAGTTACATGAATAAAAGAAGATTGTCTTCAGGAAACATTTTTAAAAATTTCTTCTTGCTTGTATGTAAACATTAATGTGCAAAAGGAAATTGCTAGAGGTGTGGATAGAGATAACACAGCGGTTAAAGCATGTGTACTGCTCTTACAAAGGACCCAAGTTCAATTCCCAGCAATTATGTCAGGCAGGTCATAATCACCTGTAACTCCAGTTACATAAGTATTCAAGTCCTCTGGCCCCTTTGGGTACCTGCACACATACACACACACACACACACACACACACACACACACACAGACACACACACACTTAAAATAAAAAAAATAAATCTTGAAAAAGGAAATTATTGGGTAAATGTAGAATTAAAAATTAATTCAGCAATTAAATTTAAAGAGTTTAGTATGAAAATTTATAGTTTTATTCAAATTATATTATATATTAATAAATTTAAAGGTTATCATAATCAATAGTATTATCAAAGTAACATCAATTTATCATTCTGTTTTCTCCTTTTTTTTTTTTTATAGCTTCCCAGAATCAAGAACGGCTGTGTGCATTTAAAGATCCCTACCAGCAAGACCTTGGGATAGGTGAGAGTAGAATCTCTCATGAAAATGGGACAATATTATGCTCCAAAGGTAGCACATGCTATGGTCTATGGGAGAAATCAAAAGGGGACATCAATCTTGTGAAACAAGGCAAGGAATACTTTTTTTTTAACTTAAAATTGCTTTGTGGGTTTTTTTTCCCTTCTGGGTGCTGAATGTCATGAACAGGCAGTGAGCTCCCTGCCACAGGGCTATATCCTCAGCATTGTTTTCATAAATAAGAGTTTATCTAGACAAGACGTGTCAGTAGGCTAAGATCCTGTCCAGAACAACAGCAAATAAGAATGCAGACATGTACATATATCTATATATTCACCCACAAGTTCCAAATTTGTAAAAGTATTTTTACTTCTTAGTGTAGTTTGATTGATTGGTTGATTGATTGATTGATTGATTGATTGGCTGAGATAGGGTCTCATTGTATAAATCAGGCTGGCCTGGAACTCATAAAAGTCTGCCTTCCTTTGCCTCCCAAGTGCAGGGACTAAAGGCATGTTCCACCATGCCTGGCCTTTTATTTTAATAATTTCTTTGTCTTTATAAGTTCATGTATGTAAATGAAGTTTGGAAAAACTACTCAGTTTTTTTTTTTTTCTGAGTTGGAGAAAACTACTCAGAAAAACCAAGGTCTACAACTCAGTTCTCTTTAAAAGTATTATTTTTATACTGATTCGTTCCATTTAGATACCTTTTCTATGTACTTTAATATTTACATGTATACCAGTCTTCTTTGAAAATTAAGTTAATGCTATATAATAATTCCATGCTCTTTCCCCCATGTTATTTTAAATAATTTTGGAAAGCACTTGTACTTCAGCACCATATTTCACTATGTGCATGTATCACAGTTTACTTACATGCTTTGGATACTGTGATGTTTTAAGGTTTTCACTGAAATGCATTGTCCTGCAGTGGGAAACTTTAAACATATATAAAAGTTGTGTCGGATTGTTTTTTAAAGTAGACTCTTTGATGTAGAATTAGCAGATCATAAAATGTATGATTATTTTAAAGAGTCTATATTAAAATTGCTCTGGGTTTTTCCAAAATTATCATCGTACATACATTTATTATAGAATTGTATGAGAGTAACTGTCAGTAACATTTTTTGTTATGATTGCATATTGTTATTTTAAAACTTAGGACAGTTTAAAACAGTTTGACTTTACTGTTTTAGGAATGTTCTTATAATAGTAGTGCAGTTACTCATAGCCATGTTGTTGGTTGGTTTTTGCTCATGAAATTTCTATTGTATCTTTTACGATTTTTTTCAGGTTGTTTTATGACATATATTAGTTTCATATTACTGCAATTATTTCATTGTTTGTTTTACTTAGTAAATTACTTTGTCACTTACTTTAATATTGATCTGTAGGATGTTGGTCTCACATTGGCGATCCTCAAGAGTGTCACTATGAAGAATGTGTAGTAACTACTACCCCACCCTCAATTCAGAATGGAACATACCGTTTTTGCTGCTGTAGTACAGATTTATGTAATGTCAACTTTACTGAGAATTTTCCACCTCCTGATACAACACCACTCAGTAAGTATTTACAATAACGTCTTTATAATTCCTTGCTTTACAAGTTTTGAAAATATAAAGCAGATAAACATTCAAGGTTAGTAGAAGTGAGAAGGACAGTTCCAATGTTGTAAATTTTTATCTAAAATCCCAAGAGATTTACTAGCAAAGCATCAGTATATCACCTTCTAAGACTGAATCAAGATATATTTTTCCTTTTGTCAGGAAATGGTGGTGTGTGCTTGTGCTCCCAGAACTCTAGAGATTGCAAGTTCAAAGCCAGCCTGAGCTACCTGGTAAATTCTTGGCCAGTCTGGACCACATAATAACAAACAAAAAACTAAAACCCTCTTAAGAAAGGGGATTAGTGATATCAAGAAAACTACAAGTCTGGCGTGATGGTGCACACCCTTAATCCCAGCACTTGGGAGGTAGAATTAGGTGGATCTCTGTGAGTTTGAGGCCAATTTGGTTTACATAGCAAGTTCTAGGTCACTCAAGGCTATACAGTGAGACCCTGTCTCAAATGAAAAACCAAAACCAAAAATAAAACAAACAACAAAACCAAACAAACAAAATGAACATTAGCAATAAAGTCCTTCATAGAGGATAAACATGTAACTATAGAATAGAGGAAAAAGGTAATTCTGTGTAATTGAAATTTGCAGTGCAACTTATTGATACAGACTAGAATTTTAAAATATATATACATACATCACATGTATTACATGCATGTTTATACACTCATATATAATGTATATGTGCACATATCTTATGTGCATAAAAATGTAAACATACATACTGTGGTAGATTGAATGAGAATGGCCTCATAGGCTTACATGTTTGAGTGCTTGGTCTCCCTTTGGTAGAACTGTTTGGGAAGGATTAGAAGGTGTGGCCTTATTGGACGAAGTGTGTCATTGGGGGTGGGTTTTGAGGGTTTAAAAGTCCACACCATTCCCAGTTAGCTCTTTGCCTCATGGATCAGATGTAAGCTCTCAGCTATTGCCATACCACCATGCCTGCATTTCCCCATGCTATCCATCATGATGATCCCCAATAAACTATCTCTTAAGTTACCTTGGTCATGTTCTTTTCGAAGCAATAGAAAAGTAACGAAGCCAGAAGTTGGTGCCAGGAAGTGGCAGGCCTGTCCATGGTATTTTTTTGGAGGAATGTATGAGACTTTGTAGTAAGAGAGAGGTTGAATGCTGTAAGTGGTTGAATGGCTGTACTAGTAGGAGCTTGGAAGGGTGGTGCTGAGAGTAATGTAGGCACTGGAGGGCAAGCTCAAGAGGTTTCAGAGGGGAACAATCTTAACAACTAGCCTAGAGTTCATCTTGTGATATTTTGGCAAAGAATGTGGCAGCTTTTTGCCCTTGCCCCAAGGATCTGAGATGTGAGTGCAGATGCCAGGGAGGCCAGAAGGAGGAACTGGTCGAGTTACGGGTGGCTGAAAGCTGCTCCCTGTGGGTGTTGAGATCTAAAATTAGGATTCTCTGCAAGAGCATTAGATGCTCTAACCCATCAAGCCATCTTTCTAGCCCCATAAAACATTTTTTAAGTGCTAGAAGGACTTTTTAATTAAGCAGTAGTTGAACTGCTATAATGAGTAGACTGTCCTACAATGAATGGCAAAAATGTTCCATCCCCAGTAGTCATTAAAAAAAAAAAAAATCTGGGCTTTTTGGCATAGGCTTGCAGTGTTAGCTCTGGGAAGACAAGCCGAGAGAATGGGGCTTTCGGTCCAGCCAACCTAGTTAAATAAGAAAGCTCCAGGTCCTAGTGAGAGACCTTGTCTCAGAAAACAAGCTGGACAGTGCATGAGGAAGAATTATACCAAGCTGTCCTGTGGCCTCCATATACATGAGTGCACCCACAGCTGTATGCACACAGGTACCTACATGTGTGTATGCACACACACTCAACATACAGTGTGTTAACGGCCAGCGTAGGTCAAGTGAATAAATGGATTCTTTAACATTGTCTTAGTGTTAAACTTCACTGATAACAATATTGTGGCTTGGGCCAGGCAGTGGTGCACGCCTATGATCCCAGCACTGGGGAGGCAGAGGCAGGCGAATCTCTGTGAGTTGGAGACCAGCCTCGTCTACAAGAGCTAGTTCCAGAACAGCCTCCAAAGCCCAGAGAAACCCTGTCTCGAAAAAACAAAACAAAACAAAACAAAAAAACCCACCACCACCACCACCAACAACAACAACAAAAAACAAAACCAAAAAGTGCCCCTTTGGCCTAGAGAGATGGCTCAATGGCTAAGAGCACTGACAGCTCTTCCAGAGGACCCAGTTTTGAGTTCTAGGATCCAACCATCTGTAATTCTAAGCCCAAAGATCTGATGCTGTCTTCTGACCCCTGAGGGCATTAGTCCTGTATATGGTGCACAGACATACACGCACACAAAATAACCATACACATAAAAAAATTAAATTTAAAAAATAACCTTTTGTCTCTAGTTATTATGGTGTTGGGCACACAGCATAAATTCAGTAAATGCTGAATAAATAAATAAAGGGTTTTGTGTGAATGTGAAAATTATAAAATAATATTAAAAGCTTGAAATTCAAAAATATTTGAAGAGATCAAGTTGATACCCCTCTTTTGTACACGTATGGTTCACAGACATTTTTGCAGGCAAAATGCCCATACACATAATAATAAAATTTAAAGCTGCTTTCTGCTAAGAATACAAAGACAAGAGCAAGTACAAACAACAAAAAAAAATTGGTCCCTCATTTATACTCACTGTTAAGTACAAAACACTACTTTTAGTTCCTTATCTCTGCACCTCAAAAATGAAGCATCATGCTGAGCAGTGGTGGTGCACACCATTAATCCCAGCACTCGGGAGGCAGAGGCAGGCAGATCTCTGTGAGTTTGAGGCCAGTCTGGTCCACAGAGAGAGTTCCAGGCAGCCAGGACTACATAGAAACCCTGTCTCAAAAACAAAACAAAACAAAACAAGAACCCCCCCACCCCAGAATATTTTAGGTACTTGATTTTATTTTTTGAAGTAATAGAAGGACCCAGAAAACTTTCCCTCAGTAGAGGCCATTATATGATCACATTTTCTTTTCTTTTTTTTTTCCCTTTTTAAAGATTTTATTTATTATGCATACATCATTCTGCTTTCATATATATCTGCACACCAGAAGAGGGCACCAGATCTCATAATGGATAGTTGTGAGCCACCATGTGATTGCTGGGAATTGAACTCAGGACCTCTGGAAGAATAGTCGGTGCTCTTAACTTCTGAGCCATCTCTCCAGCCCTGTATGATCACATTTTCAAACAGTATTTTCAAAATATTTTTGAAAGCCGGGTGGTGGTGGTACATGCCTTTAATCCCAGCACTCAGGAGGCAGAGACAGGCAGATCTCTTCGAGTTTGGGACCAACCTGGTCTACAAGAGCTAGTTCCAGGACAGCCTCCAATCCACAGAGAATCTCTGTCTTGGAAAAAAAAATGTTTTTTGAAAAATATACTTGTAGCTCCTTTTTGAATTTGTAAAGAAAACACTTCATGATTACATAGTAAGGCTACATTCTAGGTAATAGCAGAAAGTACTTAGCATTCTTTGTTTATTCTGATTATTTCCTTGAAGATTGTGTTTAGTTGAAGAGCTTATTTCTTTAAAAAACACTTAAAATTTTTTATGTGTATAGGTGCTTTGGTTTCCCATATGTATGTACACCATGCTTAGTCTCTGCAGAGGCCATAAGAGAGAATTACATGCCCTGGAACTGGAGTTACAGATGGTTGTGATCTACCATGTGGGTCTTCTAGAAGAGCTATGAATGCTCCTAACTGCTGAGCCTTTTCTCTAGTCCCCAAAGCTATACTTTACTTTTATTTATATGTATGTGTGTTACTGTGTGAGTATCTACCACATGTGTGCAGTTGTTCACAGAGGCAAGAAGAGGGTTTCAGATCCTTGGACTTGGAGTTACAGGAGGTTATGAGCTACTTGATGTGGATCCTAGGACCTGCACTCAGGCCTTTTGGAAGAGCAGCAAGTGCTCTTAACTGACCCAGCAACAGTAAAAGAATCCATGGCTCCCTGGGGATAAGAAAATAAAGCTCTCTTCAGAAAAAAAAAAAGTAGTTCCTGACTTCATTAGACACTCTAGAATATGTATTCGTAATTAACTAAAGCATGTAACACCGTTTTAAGATGTGACCAGTGGTATGACCATAAATGGGTATCTAATTGCTCTGAGCCATTCAGAGTTTACTTTAATATAGAGTTAAGACAATGGAGAAAGAGTATTCTATGTACTTTTAGTTTGTACTTAAAAAAAAATTACAGATTTTGTGAATTCTTTTGTTGTTTTTATTTTTGAGACGGTCTCTCTACATAATGCAGGCTGACTTCAAACTTACAGATTGATCCACCTGCCTTTACTTCCCGAGCGCTGAGATTAAAGGCCTGTGCCATTAGGCTCAGTGACTTCTGTAAATTTTTGTTGTTGTTGTTTTTTTTTCAAGACAGGGTTTCTCTGTGTTACAGCTCTAGCTGTTCTGGAACATGCTCTGGCCTTGAACTCACAGAGATCCACCTGCCTCTGCCTCCTGAGGGCTGTGATTAAAGGCATGTGCCACCAACGCCAGGCTTTTGTAAATTCTTATACAACTGTATTGCATAGATTTTTAGAAACAGTATGATAAGCACATATCAATAAAATTGTGATAGATTATCCATCCTACCTGTTTTTATGGGGATGTTATCAGAAGATTTAAAAGGACAAAAAGTCTACTGGTAGTTTTGCTATGTGTTCTAAAGTAATTAAATACTGACAATTATTAATGTTGAAAAGAGATGTGTGAGTACTGTTACATTCTGTTCACAGTGTAGATTTCTACTCTTACTATAGATCAGGAGCTGTTTCTAGTTCATACGGCCATTCATTCTGTTGAAAAAATAAAAAAGCCATTGTTTTTTCAGTTTTGGCAGTTGAAGCATAGTTACTTATTGTATCTTCCTTGGATATTATTAAAATTAA